TGAGAGGTGTTCATGAAACCACTATAGTAATTTTTGGTATTTTGTTTGATTTGAGTTCACTTAAGTCTCCTGAATTGCTCTCATGTATAGTTAAATATTTTACATTTTCAAAGTCTACCAGAAAATAACTTTTCACTTTATCCCATAAACCCACAAATATAAAATAGATCACATTCAAAAGTCAAAACATGAATACTAGACGAAGTTACAGTATTTATTGGCATATTTTTCATAGTATAATTCACTCCCTTTCTGAAAGAATATAAAATAATTGTTATTATTATCATGCATATACCCTCTGCTATTAAAACATAATAATGGCTACTAGCAAATACTTTCCTAGTGCTGCTCTATAATGTCAGTAAAGTGATTAATCTACTGGAAGTATACACCAGTCTTGGTCATGGTCAATCATCATCATGTGAAAGTTCTCTGATCTCTCCAGTAGAAAGCACTGATTCAAAGAGCATCTGCACTTGGATTGGGGTGAACCATTGCAGTATCCCATGGAGCTCTTTTCCCTGGGGCATGTGTGTGAAAGCACCTTTGGAGTTGTGCAATATAGCTGAAATACAACGAAAGAGCTGAGTTGAATGCTTGCTTCTTACAGAGGTGTCTCTGTGTGTGTGTGTGTGTGTGTGTGTGTGTGTGTGTGTGTGTAGTTGGGCACATAGGTGAATTTCTCCTTGCTGACTTCTAGGTAGTATATCAGGATGAGTGAGCAGGTTCCCTCCAGCGACCCATGGAGAGGTCACACAGATGTCCTGGTGACAAAAAGCAGAGGGTATCCAACTAGTTGAACACCCACTACCAAGTATAACTCTTTCCCTGAATCTCCATAATTTCCCCATACCCTTTGGGAAACAAAGACAGTAGAGCAATATCTTTCAGGGAGAAAAAAGTGAGAAGCAGTATCTTGGATATTTGATTAAGGTTCCAATGGTGAGCCAACTTTATTGAAGCAAGGTACTGTGATTGAAGGACCAGTCCAGGATTTCTTCTTGTTTTTAGTTATAAAATCTTACAGCACACAACTTGAAACTTGAGAGAAACCCTAAATAAAAATCCAGTCTTTTAGTGAGTTTATAAACCACGTTGCTCCCTCTCTATTAGCTACCTATTCTGTTCCTGTCTCATAAAGCATTTGCGTACACCTTGCAAAAATTACAACTGGTCAGTGAGGAGCCATTAACATTTTTGCTTAAAACATTTTGCTCCTTAACTGCACTTATTTGGAAGGTTGTTTTAAAAAAGGGATATTCAAACCAATTTTCATTTATTAGTCAATTAATTTACTCAGGATAAGTGAGGATCTGTAATATCAATAAAAATGCTAAGAGTCGTGATGGGATAAATCACCACCAGTCTGTGCAGGTAGTCTTTGTTGAGGGTAATGCTTTCTTAAAGGGACCACAAAGTGGTCTTGATCATGGCTCTGAAGCCCTACCTGCTTGCATTGACCATCTCTCCCAGGGACCACAAGTTGCCATGTTTAAGAAGCCATTGTAAACATTAGAAAACCATGAATGAAGACTCCAGTTGTGGCCTTAACGTTGGTATTTACTATTGTGATTTGATGCTGCACAGTCAGGTTCAGCTCATGCCGACCCTGTGTGCATCACGCAGAAACACTGCCTGGTCCTGTGCCTCGAATGTTGCTGCTGTTAGAGCCCATGATGGCAGCTATATCGCTGAGGGCGTTCCTGTTTTCACTGACCTTTACTTTTTACCAAGCACGATACCCTTCTCCAGGGACTGGGTGGTCCATCCTGATAACACTCCTAAAGTATATGACTAGGTACCCCCCTAAAAACCGGATATTTTTTCAAAGCTATGTATTTAAAACATTTTTTTTTAACAAAGCAACCTTATCACCTTCAAAGTACTCTCCGTTACATTTAATACATTGATCAAACCTGCGATTCCATTCTTGGAAACATTTTTCAAACTCATCTGTTTGGATGACTGACAGCACCTCTCTTTTAAAAAAAAATCATTTTATTAGGGGCTCATACAACTCTTATCACAATCCATACACACATCAGTTG